GAATAAGCATGCATAGAGAGATTTAGCAGTTGCTTAGTAAATTAGTTTGTCTTCAAACTGATTTAATTAAAAAAATAAAATATAAAAAAAGACACTGCAAAACTCAAAAATTGCTTGACATATTCAGTCTCGAAATTGAAACAATGTTTCTTTAGAATTCTCGACGTACCTAATCGTAAATTTCGGGACTATTTCTGAAATCCCAGATTTTGAATAAAATCCCGAGACCAAATACCGGGCCAGGAAGCGATAGTTCGTGATGGCCCTAAGGTCTTGTATAATGTAATTTCTATTTAGTAAAATAAAAACTTTAGACCAGTATTCTTCGTTTTTAAACATGTAGAATTTGTAGTACAATTTTCCAGGCTTGATCTAATTTTCCAAATAAAGTTACACAACTGCTGCGTACAAGATTTAAATGCGAAAATCTAGGAGAAAGTAGGACTGTTTATAAATAAAGTTAATGCAATTATGCCTATGCATACGTAAATGTAATTCACATATAATATATCTATGTAGTATGTAGGTAAATTGTTTATAAATAATTAACCTAGTTTTGATTTTGCTAATCGGTATCAAATTTAAATTATTGTTATAAAAAATATCCGATGTAGGCAGTATTTTACAATACAATAGTTGTGCCAGTGGGTCAGCCGAGCAAAATTTATTTATAAATGACAGCAGATTTTTGTTTCGTAATTATACACTTTGTATCGGAATTGTAGAGGGTCAAGAACCTTTATTTTAATTTTAATTTAAGAAATTTATTTGCTTTTCGGAATTAATTCAGAATGATTAGCTAAAAAATATATTTCCTTGCCGAACTTTTCTTTTATCGTGGAACAGTTCTATTTGCGTTAACAATGTTTTGTTGCAGTTATTTAAACATGAATTAAAATCACAAAAAGAATTGAGCGCATAATTAAAAAGAAATGAAGACTCACAATCAATACTTTCTCTTCGATTATTTTGTGTTAGAAGATTGCAAAGTACTCATATTTGATCTTCAATAAAAATTCCTTATTTAAGACATTTATTGAACAACATTATTCTATTTTGTTGTTGTCTTTGGAATTCTATGAAACACTACAGAATTCACTATCACAATTAGGGTTGCCACCCGTACTTTATTATAAAGTATTGTACTCTATTTCGACTATGCGTACGTTATACATTACAAGACACATAAAGTACGCAAAAATACTTTATTTAAGGCCTTAAGTAAACATCGTAATTTAGTGGGAACCAAACAACG